CTGAGCCGCCAAGCCCCGCCCCATCCTCGCGTCTGTGCGTCGGGAATATCCTGGCACGTGGTGCCCCATGTGGCCGGCTCGGGAAACCCTGAACCCCATCATCAACAACAACATCAACAGCATCATCGATATCGTCCTCATCATCACCATCATCATCATCAACATCAGCCTCATCGTCACCATCATCATCACCACCACCATCATCATCAGAATCATCATCATCATCATAATCATCATCCGCATCATCATCATCATCATCACCATCATCATCATCATCATCATCAGCAGCATCATCGTACTTCGCTGGGCTTCCGCTGGCGGGGCCGCCCTCGTTGCATTTCATGTTCGCTTCGCTGCGCCCAATGATATTCGGGAGGACCCTTCGTGAGGGACCTGAAGTAAAATCTACCGAAAGTCGGCGCACGTGATATAGCGATTGCTATCGAGGACGGTGGCCCTCGGAGGCTGCGCAGCCGTTGCGTCCACCGGCTTCTGCCGAGGGCGAGATTTTGCCGAAGGCAAGGCCTTCTCTGGAGCTGACCACACGTGCATCTGAATGCTTCGTGCGCGGCTCCCCGTGGGTGGCGCCCCCCCTTGGGAGGCCCGAGACCGATGCCTGCTGGCACGCCGCACTCACGAGGCCCTGCGGAGGGGGGCACGTCCGTGTTTGGAAGGGGCGATCAGGTGTGAATGCGAGTGGGACTAAGTTATACCCACTCAGGGTATGAGCGGATTTGAGTACATGCGATTGGGCCCGAGTGGATATCACTATGCGTGAGTGAGTGCTACGGCTGAGTTGACTGAGCATGGGTGAATATGAGGGAGTGTGAATACGAATCAATCTGGGCGAGGAACATAGAGGAAGGAGAAGGAGTGGGAGACGGAGGCGCGTTGCGAATAGCCAGAAGCCCACACTGAGGACATGGAAAAGCACAGCAAGCGGTTGTGCCGCATTTCGATTCCCAGAACCCTGACGGAGCGACTGGGCTCGAACTGTGCCGATGGACTCTCGAGGCCTCCAGACGGCTCCAAGAGGTATTCGTTTTGCCTCCGAAGGTGGGTGAACCGTAATTCAGAACCCCACGCCCCCCTCATTCTTTGATCGATGGCCACCAAGATGGCCCCAAGAGGCCCCTCACTGCCCCCGAAAGGGCCCAAAAAGAGCTCCAGAGGGCCCCAAGTGGACCCCAAGAGAGGCCCAAAGGCCTGCCCCAACAGACAGGTGCGAAAGTTTCCTTAAATGGGGCACGCGCTATTTTTCAGCGAACCGCATCATTTGGCGAGGCGGTCTCCCTGGCGGCGGTCCAGGTCCTTTTACCCTGGACGGCAGCTCGCGGCACAGGCCGTCGACGTCACAGGCGCTATTGACTTGCGCCGCGCAGGCCTTCAGCCAGGCGCGGTACGCCTCCAGGGTTTCCTCCCAGCACCGCTTCGGGAGCGTTTTCGCAAGCCTGTCCCGCATCCACGACACCGCGGTTTCGCGGAACATGACCTCTTGGAGCTGGCCGGGCTGCACAGAAGCGTCCGCGGGAAAAAATGCCCTCCACTGGGACCCGCCGCCTGTCCTTGCCGCTGAGGCCGTGGCATCGGTGATCCCGAATCGCTGAAGGCCCCACGAGGGGTCTTCACGTGCCCTCGGCAAATGTCTACTGGAAAAAAGAACGCAACATGAAAAATCGAACAGGTGCGACAGCGCGCGACCGCGCTTTCTTTGGGGCAACAAGAACCTTCTGAATTCACCAGGTTCCGTCACGCTTGCAACGTCGGAACCATCGTGGAACCATCGTGGAACCAAACAGGAACCCTTTGAATATATAAGGGTTCGTCACACTTGACGCGTCAGAACCATCGTGGAACCATCGTGGAACCATCGTGGAACCAAGCAGAAACCCTGTGAATTCAAAGGGTTTCGTCACACTTGCGACGTCGGAACCATCGTGGAACCATCGTGGAACCAAGCAGGAACCCTATGAATTCATAGGGTTCCGTCACACTTGCGACGTCGAAACCATGGTGGAACCAAGCAAGAACCCTGTGAATTCATTGGGTTTCGTGACATGCCAACCTCTTGGAACCATCGTGGAACCAAGCTGGAACCACCGCGATCGGGCGCCGGACCCTACAAAACGACACGGGTCGGCGATCGCGGGTTCGCCGCCCATACTCCTATTATAATACTAATTCAAAAGGTGGTGCACGGCGCATCTACGCCCCTGCGCCCTGGAGCAAAGGGGTACCCTTAATTAGTATTATAAGAGGGCCGCTGGGCCCCAAGCCCCCCCCCGGCCCACTCCTGGACCCCCTCTCTGATTTTCGATTTACCTCCGCCTGCTTCCAGCGCCCGCCCGCCGCCTTCCGCCGCGAGGTCGGGCGCCTCCCCCCTCGCGCCGTCGCGTAGCTCTTCAAGCCAAACGGCACCGACGCAGCCTGTCCCTGGACCGCTCCTGGAGCGCGCTCCGGCCAGAATTCCGACGCGAATCCAGCTGCGGCGACAGGGGCCCCCCAGGGCGAGCGGCGGACCAGCCATGTGACGTCGCATCGTGGCCTCGGCTGCCCGCAAGCCTGGCGACTCCGCGTCTCCTGCCCTGCCCCCCAGCCCTGGCCTCGTCTCCCCTCCGTGCCCGCTCCTTCCCAGGAATCAAATTTAAGGAAACAGTTCGCACCTGTCTGAAGGGTGGCTCAGGATGCCCACGATGTCCCCACGATGCCGCCAAGAGGCTAGCAGAGCGAGACTGCATGCTGCTACACATTCCTGTAGGACAACTCGCCTGGTGATTATTTCTGGATGTGTGTGGATACTTTTTGGTACGCGGGCGCGCGAAACGGGTCGAACGCCAGGCGAGCAGGGGCAGGCTGTGCCATCGTCGGTGTGGGTACACGAAGCATCAAGAAGAATTTGCTCCACGTCCTCTGAAGCTGACTCTGAGGCGCTTTATCCCGACGGCGAGAGGACCCCACGCTCAGGAATACGTTGCCTCGTCGCAGTCGCGCCTGACGACTCGCTCTCTCCGCGCACCTCGCTTCACATGCGCACCGTGACTCAAGCAGCAATGAAGAGCCCCCTCTGGCGTGGTCAGTAGCACTCGAAATCAAATAAAATGACTCCTGGAGGGGGGGAACCGCAAAGCGATATCGCTTAGCACCCCGACTTAAAAGAAAATGAATGAGTCCGCGGGGTGGCGGTGAGAGTAAGAGGAATACGTAGAAAAGGGAGCATGAATCGTACATTCATCGGAGTCCTGCTTGGGTCCTCAGCGACACTACGCAAATTTGGCCCAGAAAACCATCGAAACCATCGAGCCATGCACTGAGACAAGAGAAAACCATCAACAACAAAAAACGATAAACCATCGGATACCTGCCCCAGCTCTCGAATAGTCCTTGAACGGACGTCATCAGGACGTTCCTGTCGGCTAAGAACTCCATCTCTGTCGGAGGCCGTCCATGCCCAGCGCCCGATCCGGTCGCTGCGCCAGGGGCACACCCGCACGCCCCCACCGCTGGGGGCGAGGACTGCCCTCCCGATTGGGGTTTTTCCTCTCGATCGCGTCTCGGAGCAGGGCGAGTTGAGACAGCGGCAACTCAAACTGGATGCCCTGGACCCCTCCCAGGGTCCACACACACGAGAGATTGCCGAGCTGCGTCCAGCCGTGGCGACGAGAGGGCCCCCCGAAGCCCAACCACCGTTGTCTCGTCTGGCCCTGCTCCGAGCACCACCGCCACAAGCGCCGCGCAGCTCAGCCCTCTCAGGGCCGGGGGCCCCGCCCGTGCACCGAGCGCAGGCTGGAGACTCTGCCCGAGGCCTGGCCCCATGTTGGCGTCGCGCACAAGGGGGGCGGGGGGAGGAGGGGGGGGAAGGCTTCTGCGAGGCGGGGCTGCTTCTCAGAGGCGCCGGCCCTACCTCTACAGGCGAGGCCCGCGCCTGCTGAGAAGCAGGGGTGCTTCTAGGGAGCCTTCCCCCTAGCCCAGGGGAGCCCAGAATCGAATCGACAAGTCGGATCGGCGATCGAAATGAATCGGATCGGCGGAAATCGGCAGCCAAGTCGGGAAAAGTCGAATCGGCCGAAATCGGCAGAGCAGTAATGCCTCATTGAGAAATCGGAATCCCAATCGGAATCCAAAGTCGAATCGATCGGAATCGGAATCCATCGAAATCGAATCGAATAGAACCGGAGGAATCGAAACGATCCCTGTGCGCGTGGCTAATCGGGCGGCTGCTGCCGGGCAGCTGCTGCCGGGCAGCTGCTGCCCGACGGAGCGCTGCGTGAGCCCTGCGCGCCACGGTAAGGATGCATGCGCGCTGTGCTCGAGGGGTGGGGGGCCAGCGGCCCTGCTCGTGGGACCAGGGGAGGAGTAGCTGCTGCAGCAGCGGCAGCAGCTCCAGCAGCACGAGGATGAGGATGAGGGGGAGGGGGAGGGACGAGGGAGGAGGCAGGAGGCAGTTGGGAGACAGGACGAGGTGTCGCCTGCTCTGCTCGAGGTCCATGCTCGGTCAGCACAGCAAGCGCTGGCCGGTGGCAAGCTCCAGATGGTGTTCATGCGATCGCACCGCTTTGTGCTGACAGGAACCTCGTCGGCAGTCATTCGTTGATCGACTGGTGGATCGAGCTTCACCCTCATCTTCAGAGAAGCAGGGAACGGAAGGGAGGAGAGGAGGAGGGATGGAGGCTTTTTTTGACTGGTACCACCCCTGAAGTGCCGCCTCCGAGAGCGTGAAGACTTCGAAGAAGGGGCACACCGCGCACAGCAACGGGGGAGGCTCTGCACGAACACGGCGAGGTTCAAACCATACGTACTTGGCCGAGCCCCATACCACGGACGCTCTGTCCCGACCCATGCGGCAGCAGCATTGCAGGGATGGATGGATGGAGGCCGCACGCTCTCCACCGCGGGCCCTCCTTGGGGCGAGCCTCACTCGCTCACCAGCGGGCTGAGCCCCCACCCGAGCCCCCGAGAGAGCCTCGCCGAAGTCGGGGGCGTCCAAGGCGGGGGCGCCCAAG